AGTACTGCGGCTAATTGGAGGGAAATGGGAGAGCCACGTATAGCTGAGCAGCTCTCTGCAGGTGGTGGGTAGACGTGACCTAGTTGTCAGTGGAATCATCCTGCTTGCTTGGAGACCCGTGAGCTATTTGACAGCTGGAGTGAGCTGACCTCTGCGAGGAAGTAAAACTGGTGAAGCTGAGGAGCTTCCCTGCTGCTGCGAGCTGGCTGTACTTTCAGGGGGTGTCTTGCCTCCCACAGCCGTGTGAGGGTGAAGTGAGCTGTCTGGAAAGCAAAGGTTGATGTATTGGGTAAGGGCAACGCGTTAGAAGGGGCAGGAGGGAGTATTTCTTTTCCATTTGGCCATCGTGATACTGCCCTGGGAGTTCTTTTGCTTCCACAGCTGGATTTTTGTTTGACTATGTCACTACGCCTTCCCTGCGTGCTCTCCGAATCACGAGCCTGTCCCTTGGTAAGGACCCAAAACTACACGCACCTTGTTGGCGTGCGCTTTCTAGCGACTGCTCGGTGAGCAGGCCTGTGCAGGCTGAGGATGGAGAGAGGCGGTGAGGGACACGGGTAGCCTTCTCCTGCCCGAGCTAAACGCGGAGAGCGGAGCACGGGGTGAAGTCCTGCGCTCGGGTGTAGTAAGCTGCTCGTCCGGTGAGCGTGTACGTGAAGCAATGAGCTTTGAGTGCCCGGTGCGAGGGCAGTGCGCTAGCCGAGCAGTTGTGAACTGGCCTGCTCGTTTTCTAGTTTGCAACAGTAGGAAAATGGGCAGCGCTGAAATGACTCGGGGGAGGTTTAGATTGGATATTAGGAAAAATTTCTTCATGGAAAGAGTAGTCAAGCATTGGAACAGGCTGCCCAGAGAGGTGGTGGAGTCCTCATCCCTGGAAGTGTTCAAAAACGGGTAGATGTGGCACTTTGGGACATGGTTTAGTCTAGTCTACCCTTGATTGGTTTAGCGTGGACTTGGTAGTGTAGGTTAATGGTTGGACTGGATGATCTTAAAGGTCTTTTCCAACCTCAACGATTCTATGATTCTATTCTGTGACTCCAGCTCTGGGGCTGGGTGTTGCTGCTAGCAAGGCCTTTGTCCCTGCTGTGCTGTGATTTTTCATCGTACGACAGAAACCTTTTTTCCTGCCTCTCTCTTGCTTGAGCAAATAGCGCTGAGTGCGGCGTTCTGTTTTCTTTGCTGTGGATTAATGGATCCCTTACACTCAAAACCGCCCTTTGGGGAGGCAAATCTAGCTCTCGAGTCCTCTTCTCTGCCACGGGCAGCGGCGACAGCAGCTTGCTGCCCCTGTTCCTCGAGGGAGTCGCCGCTCTCCTCTTTTTCCCTCTGGTGTCTCCTTGGCCGTGTCTGTTACGGCAGGTGCAGAAGCAATGTCTGGTTGCTTGGGCAGCATTTGGTGAGGGCAAAGGGCCAGTTAGTAGCAGCGCTACATTAGCCAGCGCTTGCCTGCTGTGCAAAGGCTTATCGTAAAGCAAAAAGGTTTTATTTTAGTCTGGAAGTCATCGAGCATGTTCAGGCAGATGTGCCAGCTCTATTTATTTCCTCTGCTCCATGAAATGATCTCATTATGGCCAGTTTTGTGCTTCCCCAAAGCTGGGCAAACTCCGCTATGTTACTTTCTAGGACTCCACAGGCAGCGCTGTATAAAACAGAGGTGGTATGCAACGAGTTTTGTAAGAAATTTCTATTTAATCCACTTTTTAAAGTAAAAGTGCTCCAGAGGGAATCTTAGGTGTTTGTATTCCATGATTCTTGAGAACCAGTTGGTGTTTGTACTGGTGGGTTTCCAAGCGTGCTGGTGTAATGGCATAACGCGAGAGAAAGCACCCCTCCTGCACCATTCCCAGCGGCCTTCTCTCAAATGACGTAAATCAAATGCTAAGAAATGCTTCTGACGGTAACTTATTATAGAACTGGATTTCAGGTCTTGCTACGCCAGAGATACGCTACACCGTTCCCTTTGTTTAGGTGTGTGGTGGGAAATTCAAGGAAAGAAACAATTACAGAGAGATTCTCGGCAGCCAAGTACAGGTTCTGGCTGTGTTAGTGGTTTCCTCTGAAATGTGCTTAGCGTCCTAAGAAAGTATTTGAGTCCTGTAGAGGTGGCACCAAATTCAGAGTTACAGCTTGGCTGTTATCCCCAAACTCCGTAGGGGTCTGCAAGATTTATGGGGTATTTATATGCATATATATGCAAGATTTATTGGGAGAAGATCTATTTGTGGGTCAAATTCTTGCTCTGACAGCGGAATTAAGCCTGTAGACTTCTTACCTCATAGATAAATGCATGCTCTTGCCTCCTATACTGTTGCATGCCCAACGTTGTGTGGCTGGCTGTTCTTAAATGCTTTTTGCTCCGACGTGACTCCTGCTACTGCCGCAGCGAAGCAGCGCACGCAGCGCAGCAGCCAGAGCCATTTTAGCCTGTTGGGTTCTGAGGTGACTCAGAGAGGAAGTGTTACTGGGGTTTTTTTTCCCCACATTTTATTTGTTAGCATTTGGGAGGGAGCAAATCGGATGTTTAACTTTTGAGGACTGCTTGAATACCTCCAGGTTAATAGTTGCTTTAACCCTTACTCTCTCTGCTGCTGGAGAGAAGAATCCTAGAGTTGGGATTTTTTTTCTTAGACACTACCATCTGCTGCTTTTCGATGGAAAGCAGGTAAATGTACTTCAGCTAGGGAAAATGCAAGCTAGACTTATTACTTAAAAAAATGTTTGAGCCTAGGAAGGGGAAATGAATGCCTCTTCATCCCTTGTTTTAACGCTGAAATTAGGTATATATACCAAAACAAATTTAAGATGCTAAAACTGCAACTGCCTTTTCCACGGAAGTGTCTTCAAATATTTTCTTTCACGTTGTTAGGAGGAAGAGCAGAATAAATAACAACAGCTGTGTATTTTAAAATTACATTGTTAATAAAATCCTGGTACATTTACATAAATGACAACATTAATGTACAATTAACAAAGCATTGTAATATTACAGCGACAAAAGAGGACCTACATATTTGTACAGATAGCTGGAGCAGCTACTTGAAAATACTTTCCAAGATAAAGCCTTTTGTGGTATTTTTCAGGCAGACCAGTGATAACTTTGAAACACCTGTATGGCTTTGATAATAAATAGGGTTATTGAAGCTGGTGATCTTCAAAAGTGGATGTGTACCTAAAGCACAAGTGGGAGTGTGCCCTGACCAACTCGTCTGTCAGCTTACTGAGCCTAGATTAATCATTCCTATCCTTTCATGCAATTTGCCTCCGATGTAAACCCTTTAAGAATGCGGCCGTGTCAGATTTTGATGGATTTGTTGGGGGATGCTCTAGTTCATTCTCCTTCCCTTCACCTACCTAAACCCTGTCTATGTTGTGCTTTGGAGCTTGGGCCCAGCTGAGCCTCCTTCTTCCAGTGTGTTTAGTTACAGTATTAATTGTTGAATTTCTAAGAAGCGCTGGTTCTCCACTGAAAACTTGGCTTCCTCTTCTCCTTCACCCACCTATAACGAATGAAAGCATCTTAGCAAATGCTTTTGGTGGGTGCTAACAAAGGTCAGTGGGAATAGCTGAAGGTCTTTCCTTAAAGCTATTGGTAAGAGCAAGGTCTGTGTTTTTACACAACTAACTGACTTCCTACGGTTAGGATTATTTAAAATAAAAAAGCCACACAGAAAAACATTGCTTCAGACTCCAAACTGTAGATCGAACTGTCTCCTTTTAGTTCTCCTCAGTCAGCTAGAGGAAGGCGTGCAATGAGTCCTTTTGGACCAGAAAGATCTGTCTGCTGCGAACAAAGGAAAAATATGAACCTTGGGCATTCGAGTTGAGGCATCTTGTTTAAGTGCTGCTGCCTAAATATTAGACTGCAGCCTACCTCTAGGAACCCGTCAGGCGTGCACCGTGCCCAGTCCCCGCGGAGGTAGCGTAGCTGTGGAAGCAACATCATTCCACGGAAGAGGCCGTGGAAGCGGAGACTGGAGGTCAGAGCTTCTAATCCCAATTAGCTCCAGAGAGAGACCAAACTATCAAGCTGGGTGTTCCTCAGGCTCTTAGGGAGACTTTTATTGCTGTTTATGCTATTGGACAGGTTTTCAGCACAGTGCTAGCTCCTAGTACACCTGAGTCTTTTAGAAAGCATCTTTTGTGGTGTCAGGTCTTGCAGATAATGTTCAGAAACAGGGTTTTAAGGTGGAAGTGATTGGGACTATCAAACCTTGATAGCGAAAGGGTAGACAGTCTTTTTTTCCCCCCTCCTCAAAATGGACCCAGATTAACAACTAGCACAGTGAAACCGTATTAAAAAAAAAATACAAAAAAACCAATTCTCCCCTCCCTGCCCCAGCTCGGTTCTTCATATTAGGTTTAAAGAGTGAGTAATTTCAGAGTTAGTATTAGTTTCTACTCAGCTTTGAACATCTACAAAATCTCTCTCAAGGTGCAGACAGTTTTGGGGAAAATTTATGTCAGAGTCTCTTGACATGTATAGATGCTGGTGTTTATAGTGAAGTAGTTTGTGTACACCAGCCTTTGTGTCCAGACAGGCGACTCCTTGAATGGGCAGTGGTCCATAGGATTAGAAAACTGCGCCTATGCAGCCTTTTTACAAGTAAAACATCTATGCGTATGAACTAGGCGGCCATTACGGTGTGTAGACAGACACTTAAGACTACATATTAGGTGTTGGGTCTAGGTACATTGCCTCACTTCTCTGCAGCCCTGCGTTGTGCTTGTTTAAATGGCAGCGTTGATCTTCTCTTGGGTTCTTCGCTTGCACCCGCAGTTCGTGTTTGCGCTGTGACAGCGTTTCTGTGACAGTAGTAGCACAGAGAAGCCGGCTCCCCCTCCGTCAGTGGGACGAGGCCCAGCACCCTTGCCTGGGGGGGTATCTGTTGTAGGGGACTTTCAGCAAGATCCAGAAGGCAAACAGGGAAGCCAGAGCTTCGCCTGACGACGCATCCCCGTGCGGTTTGAACCAGTGCTCCTGCCACTGCCTCGCTCCTGCTTCACACCCTGGAGGTGACGTACACAGAGTGCAGGCGGCCGGCCAGGGCCGTCTGCAAGTCCCGCAGAGGGTCCAGGCCTTGCACTTTGCTGTTCCTGCTGTAGATCAGCTGTTTGAACGAGTCCTGCTCTAGAAGAGAGCTCATGTGTTTGAGGAAGAAGCCTTCACAAAAAGAGGCTAGTTCAGGTGCATTGTGAATCTGCGGGAGAGAGGAAGGTCAGTTAGCCTTTTCTGTGTGTCGCAGGCCTAAAGGACAAAAGGACATGCCTGAGCTTCTCATTTCTGATGCTTTTCCCTTTAATGTTTTCTAAGACAGAAAAAGGACGGTAATAGCAGTGGAAAAGCACTGAAGGTAGGGCCAGCGATGGCTGATAATTTCTTCTGGTGCTTTTGCAGGCACAGGTGTGAGCAGGTTTTTTTTTTTTTCCCCCATTCCTTCCCCTGATGGCCTGCCTGCTGCTGGCAGAGCCACTGGCCTGCACACCAGCCTCTTCCTCTTAAAGGAGCAGAGCAGCTGGCTGATGAAGCAGCCAAGATACCTGTTTAGCTGTGCAGGCGGGGAGTTCGTGTGCCGCAGCATAAAGCCACTGCGCTGCCAGATGGTGCGCGTGGCTCGTGGCAGTAAGGACGTGGTTTATAGGATGCGAGCCTAACTCCTAAAAAAAGGAGCTGTGTGTGGGAAAATAGAGATGTTACACTGCTAAAATGTGTTAGGTGGATTTCTGGCTGTGATCTGGTTGCCTTTGCTTCAGAACCAGTGGGGGAAGCTCAGTAAGAGAACAATGAAACTTGAAGTCAGTATTAAGAAGCACTGCGCACACGCACACTCCGTTTCTGGGAACTTTGTGCAAATAGTAATTTAAGGAAAAGTACTAAAGGCCAGTGAGGAACGCTCCCTTCCCTCTCTCTACCACTGCATACTCTTAAATTGTAGGTCCTGAAAGAAGCCAGCCTGAGTTCCATGGAAAAGAAGGGCCCAGTGTGAGAGTCAGGAATCAAAAAGGATCAGTGCGATGCACACAAAGTAAGCAAGCACATCATTATCAGCCCTGTGTGTTGTCTTTCTGCTTGTCTGTAAGGGAGCTGACCCTGCAAACTTCCAGCTAGGAGTGGCAGAGTGCTTCTCCGTGATTTAATTGATAACATGGATTATTCACTACAGAGCTGAGCATCTATATGCACAACAGCATATACGCTAGTTCTGGAGCTGTAAAGAAGATGTTTTAGCAGTAGGAGTGCTGGGAAGGGGTTTACTTCTTAGTTGCTGTACTATGATCTATTGCCCCTGCTGCTCTGAGGATTTGAATCTCTTGGCCTTTGCTGGACGACGTTGCTGTGTCAGCCTGCAAAGACGCCTATCCCCTGCTCCGTAGGGATCTCTTGCATCAATTTCATACGTGATTGCTTTAGACAAGAAAACAGACTGGGGCTGTGTAGGACTTTACAGACTGGAACTCGAATACATCTCACTTGCGGTTGCGGTTGGGGTAGAGTTACGAGCATAGCAGGTGCCCACTCTGCGCCTGGTGTATTTAGTTACCGAAAACGCGGCTGCAGAAAGCATGCATGCTGTTTCATTGTGATTCTTAGAGAAGGCAGTTTGGCACCTACCTTTGCATATTTATAGATGTTAACAGAGTTCTCCGTGCTGATCGTCTGGGCACAGAGGATTTCACAGTGTCTCTGGAGGCCATCCAGTTGAAACAGGCTGGCAGCCGACAACAGCTATCAGGACAAGAGAGAAGCTATTTGAGATCACGCGCCTTGAAAGCCTTTTAGGGAAGGGAAACGGAGAGAACTGATGATTTCCTCTCCGAATGATCTCTGACTCCCTGTTTTAATGGCCAAGTCCTCATGAAGGAGCAGAAACGCTACTCGATGCCCAGCTAAAGAGACAGATTTCCCCTCTTAGCAAAGGCTTGCCCCTCCTGCAGGAAGCACATTTGTGCTACCTTCTGTCACCATCATGTACGAGCCTGAGACTGCTCAAAGTCCCCTTTCCTTTCCTCAAAAAAGAAAAGAAAAAGTTGTGTGTAGTCTTTAGCTGCAAGCTTTAATTTCACCAGCCTACTTGTGACTGAGCAGCATTATTGTAAAAGGGCCGGTCTGTAATGCGGGAGCATTTGCAGTACCATCAGCTGCTCTGCAGAAGTTCAGCTTGAAATTGGTCTTTTCTCTCCCAGCCCCTTGGCGTTTGGCCCGCTGTGGGCACCAGAGCTGCTGAATCAGCTGCACCTTTTCTGTGCCCCGCCAAAAGCGCAGCACGCCCGCTTCCTTCTCCCAGGACAGAGAGGACATGGTGCAGAGGAGGCTCCCACCCAGCTCTGCGTACCAAAAGCACTGCAGTGATTTCCCTCCCTGCAGCCGCCTCTCTCCCCAGCCCCCCCAGCATCTCACGGACATAATAAAACCTAACTGGTAGTTCTCATTTCCAAGCACCAGTGTTTTGAAACGTTAAGCTCATTTCCAAGTGTTAAGTATGCTCCTGGATTGGAAGCTTGCTGTTAGCTCCTGGATTTTGCCTTTCCAGCTCTGTTTATGCCCTGGTGCACTTGGCAAGACTTAGAAGAAAACACTCTCACCTCCAAGATATCAGTGGTGGGAATTTCCATAGATTCTGTTCCTCCATAGTATAAATACTGCATCAGCATCTGAAATGGGAAGAAGGCCAGGCACGAAAGCTGTTATCACTGAAGTCACAAGGGGCTGTGAATGGCTGTGCTCCCCTTCCTGAGCAGACGGGAATGGTGTGGTACGCTGGCTCTCGCCTCCACTGTTGGCTTTTTTTCCTAGTGTTGCAAATCTGCTGCTTTCTAACACTCTTTTCTTCCTCGGGCTCTGGAAAGGGCCCTGTTGAGGATTTTAGGCCGAGAGCGACAGCGCGTCTCTGAGCAACACGAACGTCCTTGTAAAACGGTTCCTTGGATCCGGTTTTGTAAAGCCTTGCAGGCTGGTCACACGCAGAGCTGCCAGCTAGCTGGAGCGCTGAAACTGCCGCGCCGTGAGCATGTGTGTCTGGGGGACCTCCCAGCCACTCGCCTCCCCTGCTGTGCTTCTAATCAGCTTCCAGCCCCCCCATCAGGGCCAGAGGAAAAGGCCTAATTGTTTGCAGGGAGAGCAAGAGGCAGCTTCTGCTCTTTGATCTACATGTGCGCACCCCCCGCTAAACCAGTAGTGTCTTATCTAGGGAACAACCAGATCTGATGTTGGAAAGAGAAGTCATTCCAGTGTCCCGGGTGCTGTGCGAGCAGGTGTGGGGATCGCGTGCCGTGCTTACCATTTCTACCAGTAGCGGTAACAAAACTAAGCTGCTACTTTCAAAATTGCCTTATGTGTATAATGGCATTACGGGGGAGCAAAGCTGCTTTCCAGCAGAGCCCCAAGCAGAACATAGATTAGGACGAGAGGAAATGGGCTCAAGCTGCGCCAGGGGAGGTTTAGATTGGATATTAGGAAAAATTTCTTCATGGAAAGGGTAGTCAAGCATTGGAAGAGGCTGCCCAGAGAGGTGGTGGAGTCCCCATCCCTGGAGGTGTTCAAAAAACGGGCAGACGTACCACTTTGGGACATGGTTTAGTCTAGTCTACCCTTAATCGGTTTAGTGTGGACTTGGTAATGTTAGGTTAATGGTTGGACTGGATGATCTTAAAGGTCTTTTCCAACCTAAACGATTCTAGGATTCTATAGATCTCCGGTGGCTCAGTGTCCTCCATGCACCGTAACTGAGATTGCTGTACAAAGCCATAATCTCCTTAACTCATCTGATTTTATTCACCGTCAAATCGTTTAATTCCGTGAAGTATTTCACTGTTTTAATTCTTTTTGATTTGTTGCTCTCTCCAGTGAAGCAAAAGTTTATCTTTAGAAAGCTTTTGATATAAAAATGTGGTTAAGGAGGCTTGTTTCAAAATACTTTTTCTGTCATGGCCTGAGCTGCAAAATTTGGATGTCATCAATCCAACGCAAAACTGGCATTGCCCGTTTCAAGTAGAACAAAGATGTTCTTATGGACAACTTCATTGCCTCTACAGGCGATGCCAGTACTGCTGACCAACAGCTTTGCTGTTTTGTTTGCTTATAAAAAGAGAAAAAGGAAAAGCCTCAATGCTGTAGTGAAAGAGTTACACAACCTATTCTGCACTTCAGATTTCCCTGCTCTGTACCTTTCTTCCAGTTTTGAAATGGAGATCTGGAAAACTGGAATAACTTAATTATCACATTTCACTGACTTGGTTTATTTTTTTTTCCTTGGGTGTGTGTTTAACCTACTTTCTCTCAGTCATAAATGAACCTCCCTTAGGTTCATAAAACATGGAAATGTCATGAAAGCGAAGTGCAGTTCTCCATTTTGAGCCTTTCTTGAAAGGGACACCATTGATTTCCGATCATCTGATTTGAATTAATATGAAGCCTGGCAGTCCACCCGCTGTAAATAATTTACTTTTTGCTTAGCCCAGCATGAAAATGGTGCCTTAAAAAGTATGAAAACGGTGTCTTGAAAGTACAAAACTCCTTTCAGTAGAAGCCTAGTTTCTCCTGCTTTATGGAGGAGTCAGCTGCCTACTAAGAAAGTAAGAATATAGGCTGGAGGTTTTTGTTTTAAGGTTGGTCCTAGCTGAAAAATTTTGACAAAGATCAGAATACTCCTGAAATACAGGTGTGTTGAAATGAACTCCATCTCTACTTGTAAATTACCTATGATATTAAGCCTTGGCCCTCTTAGCTTCCGAGTATGTGAGAAGATGAAAAGCTTAAAGAAAGGCAGAGTAAGTTACATACCTTGAAAATACTGTATTTCATGTCGCTGATTTCAACAGTCTTGCTGCCATGGCCGTCATGTTCTGTTTTATTGGTCATTAGCGTCTTAAACCTGAGAATGGTTTTAATAGATTTCTGTATTAGTCCTTGACACACTCATTACCTATTGACAAACAGCCTAAGCAAGGGGAAAATAAAGATCCTTCCTTTGTCCTTGTCTGCAAGTTGAAAATTGAAACATTTCTTTCAATTTAATGACAATTAGTTTAGAACTTCAAGGACAACTTAACCTGTAAATTGCTTGGGTCTGATCCAGTCCCACCCTATAATAGTTGCGAAACACTGTTACTGTGTCAACAACAGAGAAAGAAACTAAGAACTGCAAGTGTACCAGGTCAGGGGGGAGATTTCCAGGAAATCTGGAGCAAGTGTAGCGCTAGCTGGCAAACTCTCAGAGGGGGAATGGAAAGCAGTGAACGGCTGGATACGTAGGTTCCAGCTGCTGCACGGGGTTTGGGGGATAATTACTGGTTAGTTTATGTCAACAGAGCTGTGGGAATCTCTAACACATACTGGAGTGGGTAGAAAAAATTCATCTTTACCCTCCTGCTGTTCTTAAAGCTAGCAGAAAAGATGTGGCTTGGCCCTGCCACCTGAATTCTGCTCTGTAGTCGTATCCCTAGCAGCTGCCTTACTGCAAGGCATGATTGCGAGCTAGTCACACCAATGAGGTACTAAAGGGCCAAACCTTCCTTTAACAGCTCTGGAAAGTGACTCACCTGTTAGATGCGGTAACCAGCAGGACTTTGTGTGCATAAAATAGCTTTCCTTCTACTAAGAAAGTTACATCAGACATTTCTTTATTGTTTAGAAAGTGAGGATCTGTTAAGGGTAAGAAAAAAAAAAAAAGAGGGTGAATATTTTTTTGAAACTGTGGATCCTTTTTAAAAAAGAAAAAAAAAATCACAGAAGCTCATTGTTCTTACCTAGCCGAGCTGGCAGTGTCTTTCGGATTTCAGGAATGCTGGGGATCGGGCTGCTGCCGTAGCAGTGGGTGAAGATGGATGCAAGCTGCTGATTGATGGAATCATTCTGTAAGGAGGATGGAACAGGTATCATCAATCAGCACTTCGTATTGAGCAGGTTTCAGACATGCTGTAACAGTTCGCTCGAGGGTTATAGCAACTGCACTCTACGAGAATAACCTCCCAAGAGAGGGACGAGCGCATGATCTGTACGAGTACGCTCTGACAGAATGCTCTCGGCAACAGTTTACGGGCCAGCCTCTGTCAAGGGAAAAAGAGTCCACCAGCAAAAGCCCATCCTTCCACTTGCTCTGCAATGTGTAAGGCCACAAGTTCTCAGCAAGAGTTGATTCATGGGATCGGTTCATTTTCGGATACCAAGTTCAGGTTCCTAGTTTGCAATTGGTTTTAGTGAGGCAGTTATATCTCTTGCTTTTAATTTAAAGGACAGTTACAATGTATGTTGTAGTGACCAGTTACGGTGGTATCAAGAGCTGTACAGACTCCTCAGCTTCCCCTGTCTGTGCATTTCAAACGTATCCCGTCTACAGCCAGAAGGCAGCGTCCCTCTCCTAACGTGAAGGGCAGCAGCCTCTTGGAAGAGAACATGGTAGAGACGGGGTGAACTTATCTGCAAATGGGACAGCTAAACTGTATACCATGGATCAAATCCGTTCTAGGCATGCCTTGAAAAGCAAGGAAAAAACAGCCACAGGCAAACTTTAAATAAAAAAAAAAATTAAAAAAAGGAAAACATTGCTGAACAAAAGCATTGTTCAGAAAAACTAGAAGATACTGTTGAGAGAACCTGAATTGCTCCGTACCATACTGATAACTCTTGCCCTTACATTCACATGGTTTCCAAAGCCAGTTGCTGAATGGGACTTTAAGAGAATAGCTTTCACTTCTATTGAAGTTAATGTCTTTACTGTGAGGACTGCTTTTGTGGGCTGTATATGAATTTAGATAAATGCTATCAGGGCCATTTTATACCGGAACTCATTAGGCACATTGCGTAGGCATTCACTTGTTCTTGTGCACTACCTTGTACAACAGCAAAAAACAAACACATGATGTTGATACTGTTAGCGAACTAATAATTACTTTGCTGGTTTTGAGGATATCAAACATGAGCTGCAACCCTTCGTTAACCAGTTCTTCATTATAGTCCTCTTCCTTAATGGTGACAAATTCCCGTAAGAGGGTCTGTACCACCGAGTATCGAGACTGGTAGAAGGTTGTCCGTAGCGACTCGATCCACACGTGGAGCTTCCATGGGACTCCTGTAGGCACAGCAAAAAGGACAGTGGAAGGGGATGACTTGCTGAAGTACCCGAGAGTACATAGTTCTGCTGCTATTACTGACACTCAGCGGCACTGAAGTAGGCCTTTGCATACGTCCTAACAGCAGATACTTTTTTGTCTTGATATTAAAGATGACTGAACTGGGTCATTGACAGATTAAGTGACTTATCTACAACAGCAAAGGATTGGCACCAGGACCATAAGTTGGAACTTTCTGCTGACTGTTAAGGACCAGAGACTCCCTATCGTGTGTTTAGCTTCCTGATTAGTCAGAACTACAAAATAGATTTGAACTGAACTTGTAAGAATAGCTAAGCCTATGCAAACAAGGTGTGAGGTCTTTTCTCCTGGTTACCCGTAACAGCCTAGACACACAAGCTTCAAAGCTTCTCTTTCTTCCCTTTAGATCAAATCTGTTCTTTCACCTTAAACCATTTAATCTCTGATAATATCTTTGGGTTTGAGACCAGCCTCCTTAACACCGCATTTTAGATGCCAGAGTATCTGACGAAGAGCCATGCCCCTTGCTTTTGATACTTGGGAACAGAGGATTCAGCCAGAAGTAAGGGACATCCTAGATCAGTGGGAATTTGAAAAAAAATTTGTGAGGAGGCTTAAATACTTCTTTTATTAAATTAGACAGCTACTTCCCATAAGCTTGGGATAGCTTTGCAGCTGGGGTTACAGATTTTTCTCCAAGTGAAAGAGGCAGAGGGAAAAGCTTTTCACACCTTAAATATCCACAATGCTTAAGATAAAGAAAACCCCTTACCAAGTGCCCTGAGCTCCATGGTGATGTCTACGTAGCCGTGCTCAGCGCTGTAGTACATGGCCTCCTGCAGGGCCTTCATTCGTGTCTTACAGAGCCTGACTTGCCCCTCGCTGGAGCTGCCCTGGCTGGAGGTGTCGCTCTCCACTCCCTCGGCTAAAATCTCCTCCAGAGAGAGGACATCTCCCTTCAGTTGCTGGGGCTGGGTCAGGAGCTTGCGCAGAACGTTCCTGAGGAGGAAGAAGAGATCTCACTTATTAATAAATGAAACATCAACAATCCAGACAGGACCGTGGTGGTTTGGGTTTAGGGGTCTGGCTTAGTAAATCATAATTTCCTTCCAAAAAACAGACAGCTGGCAGATACAGGGCAGCCTTAAAAACACTCGTCCTTCCCTATCCCACATGCTAGAAATTGATGCCCTGGTAGCAAGGGCAAAAGAACGGAATACGCTCCTGCGCCTTCGTGGTACCAGGGCAGATTTCAGAGTGTTAGGGCAAACTGGTTTTGATTACAGTCTGTACTTTGGCATAGAAGCACGCTGCCTTCTGCCAGCCCTGAGTGTGGTAACGTCTTAAGCTCTGAAGTAAGATCTACCAGAGAGCGTGTTAGAACCCTCGCTGTTTTCCCAAATGGCCATCCTCAAGCAGCGTTACATTGTTCTAGTTAGACTCGCTTCCTGTATCAGTAAATAGAAACCATAAAAAATGATAGTTCTGCATCACTAAATCCGGGGAGAATTTTTTTGGTTTGGAATTTCACACAGCAGTTGCAAGAAAGAGGCTCGCTTGTTTGTGTCCAGCCGCTTCAGCAAGCTTGCATCATTGGTGTCCTACAGACAGCTGGAGCCATCTGCAGCAGACGTTCCCCAGCCCCGCAAGTCCATGCTCGGCTGTGACACCGTATTGCCACTAGCTGGTGCTCTCTTTGCACCCACACTACCCGGTATGACTAAAAAAATGTTAATTTTGTGCTTTAGGATCACCCTGTCCTATCCGATTGGAGAATAAGCCTTAAATTTCACAGTTTGCGTGGTTAGATGTTGCAGGAAGATTGTGGGAGGGGAACAGAACAGTGTTTGTGTAGTTTTAAGCTGTAAATAACTGCATGAGGCCGTTCCAGCTTTGCAGAGTTTGGGCCTCATTTGAGCTTGGGGTATTTTCCCTGGTGCATCCAGATGTGCGATGTACCTGGAGGTGCAGTTTTGGCAGTGCTGTAAAGCCCAGCTGTGTTCAAGCGAGGTGGCTGCTATTTAATGTGCTACTGGAAGGGCCAGCTGTACGACCCCGTGCATGTCTCTCGGCCCATCTACACAGGCAGTTTCAGGGCTGTTTTAACTGGCTTGTTACGCTAGCGGTTTTTTCTGGGAACAGAAGGATTTCTGGATGAGTTTGTAAGTAATGTCTTATGTCTAAATAACTACCCTGAAAACAGGGTTGGAAAGCCCAGGCTGGCATTTCAGCATTTGATGACTGATCTCTTTGGTCGGCCATCCAAAAACCAGAGATAGAGTCAAACAAATTCTGCCACAGATTATTTTTGCCACCTTAATGTGATTAGATTCTGTCTCGGAACATGAAGCACAATCTCATAACCTACCCACAGGTGGAAGTTAGTCTGCTCACGTATGGCCTAGAACCAGCTCCTACTCACTCTTAGTGCTGCAGAGCTGGACCAGCAAGTGAAAGAATAAGAAAAAGATCTTTCTGTTGTATTTTAGGCTTTTACTAAAATATAACCCCTTTCCTTTATCAAAGTTGTAGTTGCTGAATAATGAAAGTCTTGCATCATTGAGAGGTGGTGGAGTCCCCATCCCTGGAGGCGTTCAAAAGACAGGCAGCTGTGGCACTTTGGGCCATGGTTTAGTGGCCATGGGGGTGTTGGGTTGATGGTTGGACTGATGATCTTAAAGGTCCTTTCCAACCTTAATGATTCCTAGTTTTTACTTTCATTAAAAAAGAACCCAGCCACCAAGCCAGGAAACATGAAATTACTGCTCTCCCCTTAATTGGTTTAGTGGTGGACTTGGTAGCGTTAGGTTAATGGTTGGACTGGATGATCTTAAAGGTCTTTTCCAACCTCAACAATTCTAGGATTCTATGATTTTTTCTCCAAGGGATGTAACAGAGAGCAACTACCAGTTTAAAGACTCTTTCAGTTCCCCAAAACGCTCAAAAGGCACTACCTGCCCCAGAATCAGAATAGTTTGAGAAACTGCGCTGCACTGAAAAATGGTGGCTATCAGGAGAGTCTTAACGCCATCTTCTGAACTGCACACCCAAGGATTTGGGTGCAAGACGTGTAATACAAAGTCACATTGGAATACCGACAGTGATAGCCTTAGGCAAAAAAAACCCTGTTCTGAACATGAACAGAGCTTTACCTGTGCCCATGCGCAGCTGAGTGACTGAAGCAGTTCATATCTTCATGAAGCGATGAAGACATACCATTGACTTCCAACATACTCAGGAGCGGATCAGCACCCCTACTTAGCAATAAGCTGACCAGCTCGTAGTTCCCTAGGGAAAAACAATCGACAGGCACATAATGATGATTCCATGTCTGTTACCTCTTTGAAAGCGTAGGACATAGGGCTGGTGGCAGACACGCTGTACCAGCAACTTTTACGCTACCGAGGCTTTCAGAGCATCCTGCAAGCGTGCGTTAGGCTTCGTAACGTCTCGGAGAGAACCTGAGTCACAGAGCACTTAAGTTACCTAGCAATGCACAACTAGCTAGAGGCAGAATGAAAAGAGAATTAAACTGGTCTGGCGCTTTCGATGCACCCCAGCAGAGATGTACGCAGCCAGTTTAACCAGGGGCAGAGTCCCGGCTGTTCAGCTGGTGGCACAGAGGAGGCCCGACGGGAGCTGCTCTGTGCTGCGCCTGCTGACCGCAGCTTCCTAAAACCGCCCCGCAGAGCAGCGCATCGCTGCAGTCCACGTGCGGCCAGGCCTCCTTTCCATCATTGCCATCCGGTGTAGTAGCGAGTGGTGGCAAGAGGCCCGGCACAACGAGTATCTGTCACTGGGAGGGGAGGAGGCCATTTTTTTTCCCCCTTCAATAAAGCTTGGTGCAGAGCAAGCCAGAGACTCATCTTCATAGAACGCACAAAAATGAAGCAGAAAGAAACGAAGGGAAAAAAGTAAAAGGTTAGAGGTGAAAAGTGTTGAAAAACAACGGGTACTTTTAGGCTAGCACAGACTTGATCAGAGAATGCTAATGTCTTCTCATGACAGGTAGAAGAAATGCAGAATTTTACTTGTATTTAATACATTAATAAAACAGATTTCTTTATATAGCAGTTATTTTTCCCCGGGCTGAATTTAAACTTGTTAATTTTTGCATCTGGAAGTTATTTAGATCCAAGACATGCCTGGACTAGACAGTAGCTGGTTTATGTTTCTTGACAGTGCCCTGCGCAAAGGAGTTGTTTCAGTCAGCTTTACTATGGGTGCCGCTGGCAGGAGGTGAGCGCTGGGACGAGCTGCAAAAGCAGACGCTCGTTTAGTGCCCATCAAGCTCTTGCCACGTGACGACGGCTGTTAGTTGCTGCCAACCCAGATGGGGTTCCCTACTAGCGTTTTAGAAATGAAAAAAAAAAAAGCCGACTTTTTAGTAGCCAGCTCACTGTGCTACTCATTTGCTATCTTTACCGTACCCACGGTACCTTAGAACGCAGCGCAAAGCGACTCCTAACGCGTTTGACAGATAGCGGCCCCGCGCGTGGATTGGCTGTGGTTGTTCTGCGGAAGCAGGAGACGGAGCGTGCTGAGGCCGCGCCGAGCTTACCCGCTGCCGAGGCCAGCTGAAGTGGCGTCTCGGCGTAGTTGTCTTCCCCGCTGTTAACGGCAGAGCCCTCAACGTGGGCACCAGCGTCCAAGAGCAGCTGCAAGAGACACATGAAAGAGGAGGAGTTAAGAAAAGAGCAATTCAGAAGGACAAAACAGAAGAGTTTCTGTGTGTTAGAAAGGAAAACCAGTAGATTCACAGTGAAGAGTGCACGCACACAAAGGGACCATCTCGAAGGCTAAAGCAAAATAAGTATTACAAGGCAAATTGCTCTTGCGTTTCCTCACTCGGCCTAGGGCTAAATTCTCCACATGAATGTCAGTTTAGAGTTTTCTTATTTTCTTTTGCTTTACTGTGCTTTCAATAGCGAGTTTGTGCTGGCAAGGTGCTCAGCTGGGCAGTCTGGAGAACATCACCTAGTTTTTTTTGTTGGGTTTCTTTTTTTTTTTTTTTAATCTCCTTTATGAACATGCTTTTGCAATTGTAATTTCCCAACTCCAAAGAGCAATCAGAGCTTCTCTTCAGCGCAGGAAGTCCATCTTATTAGCTTCACGCTGTGCTCAGGAAGCGGGGTTCCTCCAGGGAATTAGCCCTGGAGGCCAAACATACCTCTCGGTCTCTCAGCCTGCCTAGGGAGGCCCTGGCAGCTGCAGCAATTTGCCACACACGGAACCCGCTTTCATTGACCGCGCCGAGCTGCTCCCAAGGGAAATCGCCCCCCTCCCAGATGAAGGGGAGAAGGGTACGAGGTGTTGGGGACCTTTTACGCCCAGGCGGGGCTGGCAGACGGCATCGGGGCACCCAGAGCACCGCTTGCAGGCGCAGATGGGGGATGCTGCCCCGCGCCCGGCTCCCGCCAGCGGCCGAGGTTCCTCCGCTGGCCGTAGGAGTCCAGCTGGCTGTATCGCAGCGCGTTGTCACAATTTCACAGTTTCAGCCATCCCCAATTAGCGATGGCCTTGGCACAACCAGCATATACATCCACACTCTTATTATAAAACTTCTTGCAGAGCACCACAGCTGGTTGGCTGGTTTGTTTCTCTCTTGCGATGCCAGCTACAACTGGAAAGGTGATTTTATACACGGATTTCAGCAAAAGCTGACATCTACCCTTCTAATAATAGTTGCCAAATGGAAAAAAAAAAAATATGTAATCTTTTGAAGTTTTAACCAAAATTAAAGAAACAAACGTTGTGGGTAATGCAGTCCAACAGGAGCTTTGATACACTTGGCTACATCTCCTGGGAGAATCACGCTCTTATCTCACATGTAAATTCAGGCTGTCCAACTTTTGTAGTACCAGAGGCCGCCCTGGCAATTTGCCACCTGCGTTCTAATCTTTGTAATTATTTACAAATGTACACAAACAAAAAATGAGTGTGTGGGGCCTCCGTTTGCTTACATCTTTTGTTCTTTCCCCCCCCGCCTTTGAGCAGGAGCTAAATTAAATTCACCAGCAACTGACTATCTGCTGTGATCAGTTTTGAATTCCTCTTCAAGTTCAGGTAGGATTTCCAGGACTGCCCCCCCCCCATTCCGCTGCCCCCTCCATTAATTCCACAGAAAAGGAGGCAGGGAGGATGCGAGAGGCTCAATTCCCACGACAGCTTAAGTCTTGTTCATGCAGTTCTCAAGGATTATAAAGGAAGTTACAGATGATTTGCTTCCATTAGAGCAGAAATCAGCATACACTTAATTTTTGCATATGTAAATGTATAATCCAGTTAACAGCCAATGTCAGAAAGCATCCCGATCGAGCGGTCTCCCTGTAACCACTCCACGCGAAGCACTGATTTATCTAATACCAAAGAAACGATCGTGCAGCATTGTTCTGGAAGTGGTAAGCCTTGGACCAATACTGAAACCAAACCAAAATAAGGAAACATACTGTGTTTTGTTATCAAGGCCCTGCTAGGAATTATGTCATCAATTCACAATTCCGCAAGAAAAGCATGGGTTGCATTCTCCTCATTTTCAAACCACGCAGTTTTTCACTGGTTTTTAGAAGGCTTCCACCAAACTGCCCCTGGAGCCCGCGAGGGACGCGTGCTCAGGAAGCCCGAGAGCGAGGGTGCTGCCCAGCACGCGGCGCCGCGCTTCAGTCCCTCTGTGCCTCCCGGAAGGGTTCGCACCCGGGGGATTTCCTCCGCTTACCTGAACAACAGAGATGTGCCCATGTAGGACGGCGAAGGTAAGAGCGGTCCAGTGCCGGCTGTCGGGATGGACCGACGGGTACCGCGGCGAGGTACTGGGAACCTGGGAGAAAGGAAGCAGGTAGTTACTACCCGCTGCGGCCTCTGTCTGCCGTAATCCTAGACAGAACTGGCTTTTTCCTTTGTGACAACCCCAGGGAATGGTAAGTTATGCCATTTAGAGAACACTGCCAGCACCGCTCGCTCTGTCCAGTCCCCTGGGCCTTTTTAATGGGCTTATTGGTTTCTCCTACTGGCAGCTCTTTCGGGAGGGAGGCCCCTTTACCCCCGCCATGCCTATTAGACTTGCCAATGCCAATCGTAATTGGAGCCACTCGGTGCTCCAAGAGGTTTTGAAGGTTTTCTTCCCCCTCCCAAATCCCTGAAGCAGTGATTTCTGAAAGAAGTGGCTTGCTCAGAAGCTTCCAGAAACGAAGCCTTCAGTTGCTAGGAGAGATTTCATAACTGCTCTTGTTAGTTTACAGATGAATAATTACGGGGAGAGGGTCCCCTGTTACTCACTGGTATATCTAAATTTGCTCCAGCATCTATAAGCATTTGGACCATGGCTTCATCTCCAGCAGCACAGGCGTACATTAGTGGGGTCATACCCTTCAGGAAGAAGAAGAAGAAGAAAAAAAAAAAGTTATTTTTCCATACCTATCAACAGCAAAACTGTCACGGACAGAGTGAGTTTGAATCTCAATGTAGGGACAGCATACGTATATGTTCAAAAAATTTCGGTTTCTATGCAGAGTGGGCACAATGCACTAGTATTGGAAAGTGATGCGGACAAAACATCAGGGGACAAGATTGCAAGAATACAAAAGGGATCGCTGAAAATCCCAGCTGTGTATTGTCCACAATTCTTGAGCTTTCTCAAGGCTGCCAAAAAAGAAATACCATTTCTTGGATCATTTGTAGCCAGATGAACCGAAAGCACAAAATGAGACAAAAATACACAAGATGAATTTATTTGGCAGCTTATCCCCATTGCTAAAATCCTATTTGCCACAATATTTCAGCATTTCAATCCCATAAATCTCTCTCTCTACTTAACCAATAAACCATGATGGCTCAGAGATGAATTATGAGAGAAACGAGCCTTACTTACGGAGTTCATTCCAGAAGTAGCCAAGGACAGAAAGGAAATGGCCTAGTAAAATCCGTTCCTGCTCACATCCTAAGGCTTTTCCCCCCCTCCTTAATTTTTCACAGGCAGCATCTCTATTGCTCATTGTGTAATAATACAGCTTCATCTTTAGAGGCGGACATGCATTGTAAAACAGAATTACGTCTCACACCAAGGCGTTCTATCTTGTATCTGCAAAGGCGTCTTTTCAAAACAGCCACAGTTGCAGTCTGGCTGCATTTGAGGCAGTTACACTTGCAAAGATGTTTTGGGGGCGGGGGGAGATGGGTGGGTTTGGCTTTTGGGGGGCTTGGGAGGATCTGCTCTCGTTATAGACAAGTAAACTTAACTGAGAATTCAGAACTAGGGTCTGCTGGCACAAGCCCATATTTACTGCTGCAGTCAGGGTTCTAAAACTAGCAGGTGTGTACACACTTACCTTATCTTTTTTTTTTCTTAATTTTACTTTTAATACCAGTTTTGCATTCCCTGCTTGTCCCTCAGTATGCAAAGGGAAGAAGAGATTGTTTTCCTAAACATCTCAAATCCTGTGAAACCAGAGCACTGCCTGGTACCCACTAGATGTGAATACAAAACTGCTCCAAAGTCAAGTTTCTGAAGATACGTTCCGAGTTCTCTCCCCCTCTAAAAATATCTCCATGCACATACACGCAGAAGCGGGTCTGAGCACACACCTCAACGCTGGACGTGCTGACATTCTGGGAGCGGTCAAAATCTGAACCTGGATCTAAAGCCTATGTGTTAAATGAGTCCAACAGTTCTGTCTATCGTAGGATTTGCAATAAAACTTTGCTGTACTTGCCAGGCGAGAGATGGTGATGCCTCTTTGCGATGCCTCAGAGGTGCCTGCCTGCTCTGCGCTGTTCTAAGAAGACTCGTCATGACCAAAAGAAATCAAGATACATGAATTGAGCTTTACCAGGTGCCAGTGTTAAATGTTCTGTCCTACGACAGGACATAGAGACCTGCTTTCTGTTGCCATGCCTGTGTCAGTTCTCCCAAGTTTGGGTATGCTGGCTTTGGCTTATTCCTTCACAGGAAGGGCAAAAGCAGCTGGCTGCAGAGTTCAGATTTGGCTTCATATTCCAGCTATGGCAGCATCACTGCTGGAGTTTGGATTTAACTCTCTCTGTGATTGGCAGCGCAATTTGGACACTTGCTTCGCTGCAGAGATGAGTTGCCCCAGCATCACTTAAGTGGAGAATTTCAGAGCAACGATGTCTCCAGAGGGAGCCTGTCCTGCCCTCCTTGGTCAGTGCCAAAACACGGCTTTGAGACGTGGGAGCAGTGCCCTGCAAAGATGACACTGCCGCCAGCACCCTACGATCCCCCTGTCCACAGCAGGACTTGCTAGAGGATGACATCAAGAGGATGACAATGAGACCATAAATAAGTGGCAGCAGAAACTCCTCAAACTTCCCAGTTGAGTTGCCTACAGAACACAGGGCCTTTATGCGTACAAAGGCCAAACAGCTCCCACTTTGCTGGCCGGCTGAAGAGAGATGAAAAAACATCCCGCGGTGAGAAGCGACGGTCTCGGCACCAGCGTCTTTGGTGTTAGGATAGCAAGGTTCACAGTGCAAAATAATCTCAAAATAATTTGAGAAAACAGGTGGCCTGAGGGCTACATAAACAGGAACTGCAAAAACTTATGGGGGAAAAAAAAAAAAGGAAGTAAGCGGCAGACCTTCATAATATAAATGTGCCACCTTTGTCACTTTGATAAAGTCAGTATCGAGAGCACCTGTGATGCGATACCTCACCTCTGGGCCCGCAAAGCTCCTTGTATTGGATACGTAAATAGGGCAACTACACACCTAAATATAAGCTGGTGCACAAGTAGTTTCTGCTTGTATTTGTGTACGCGTTCACACTTCCTTTAAAATTGCAGGATGGTGGAAAGTACCATGGAAGATGTGCCGGTTTCAGAATTTGGTCTGAAATGCTACTGCAGTAAAATGCTGTCTATGAGAAAACCCCTCTACTTGAACATAAAAGCCTTCTTACTGCTAAACATCCTATTGTTTTGGAGACATGACAGCTCATTCTCGTTGCTGTGACAGCTGTAATGAGTGTTTATTTGGAAGAGCATTTCCTTTTTTTTAAATTAAAAGCTAATGCAATGCACTGAACGATGCCCCAGAGAACAGACTCTGTTGTTACTTGATGCGACTGACAGCACAAGCAGAAGCAGCAAAAGATTCCCCAGACTACCAAATCCCTACGGTTCAACGTAGCTAAGCAGGGAACAGGTAGAAATGAAAAATAAGACACATCAGCATGATGGACTTTCAGCAAAGCTAATGCTGACCGATACCAATGCCACCGGGGTTCTCGGTGCCGTTTCTTATATGCCAGACTGCACTGCGAACATGGAACTTGCTTTCGCAGCCCGAAAGCCATCAGACAGTAACACCTCTGGGCACTCGTCGCTGACCCAGACTGGGTTTGGGCTGTTGAACCAGAAGAGAGCGTCAGTGGCAAAACCCACTTTGTTTTGACATTGCCTTAGCATTAAGACAACATCAGACTTTCCATTCGCAGCCAGCGTATTAACTGGTCTTCCATCCATGTCTGGGAGAGGCCATCCAAGGAACAGACCTACATTCCAGCTGATAAAGAAACAATTCACTCCAGGCTTTGACTGGTTTTTTGGGGGGTTATTTTGTTGTTTTTTAAGGGATATGTTTTCAGAGTAAAACGCAAGCTAGAATTAGAAAAGCCTTGGAGAGGCAACTAACACGACCTCGTGTATTGATTTGCCACACAGAAAGGGACGTGCGATTTGCTCATGCAAAGAATTTGTGTGGGGGGTTACATGGCATACCTGATCATCCATGGTGTTAACCCCGTCAGGTCCCAGTGCGTCGATTGCTTGGTTGATCAGATCCGTCCTTCCACAGTTCAGCATTCGGAAACCCAGATCCTGCTGGAATTTTTCAGTAGCAGCCTTAGCATCCAGTCTCCGGAAGGAACTAAAGCAGCATTCAGGTCTGTGAAAGACAAAATAATTTCTGGGTTTTTTTTTATTTTAATTTTTTTTTTTAGCCCCCTCTCCCAGGAAATCAGGCTCATGAATTTTCATTATTTTACCTATCATATACCTTCCCCACTGCGTAATCATTTCTGAAACATCTGGCTAACTTAACTCATGCTGGAGGTAGAAGTTTTAGTTCTTAGAGAAAGACAGTAAGTTCATGTAAACGCTGCAAAAAAAAATAAAAAAAGGTGTCCGAGCAGAGAAACCTCGTCGGTGCCCTCCTCCGAGGGAAAGGCCGGAAGAAATCCTTATTCCTTGTAAAGAGTGGTAGTTTCCACCCAGCCCCTCAGTACAAGGCACTGCTTCTGCTACATCTTATCCAGCAAAACAGAAAGGGGATGCCGGAGCACGCCCGCACCGTAACGGGCACCGAGCAAGCGGGCTTACTGCAGCAGCGGGGTTCGCGTGGTGGGACCGGTGTCACAGGCTGCAAACCTGCAGCACCCAGGTTTCCTTAGTTCTGCGTCTCACAAAAAAACTCACCAAAACCCAGCTGCTTTAACTAATGAGCTGTATATATTTTGTATATCATCTTTGTATTTTCCTGCTTGTTATAGGCTAGTCCATCAAACATATTACAAAAACATATTGCAACACCGAGAAAGAGGTGGAAAGTTTATCTAATAAAATAGCAGTGTAGTTCTAGGATGAAACAATTATGCTGTCTGTCTACCAGACTAGCTATTATTTTGAAATAAAAGGCACTGCTGAAAGAAGATAATGATCCTTATTCTTTTCTGGGGGCAGGGGGAAAATAAAAATTTTAAAAAATACGAAATCAAAATCAACTTTAGGTAGTGGAACGTTCTCAACTCTTTTCCAATGCCTCAATAAAAGGAAGCGTGTTACCATTTCTGTGAGGCTCTATTAAATCCTTATCCTTTAGATGACTATCTATCAAATGACCTTTATCTCATTTGGAAGAAGTCCAGGGATTACTGTAAATCCTCTGGTTATCTGCTCAGAGACTTCTGAATTCCAAACCTGGAAGCGTATCTCCTTCACTGAAGAAACATTGCCAAACTGGAGGTGTTCCCTATCTCAGCTGGCCATTGATACGGTCAGCCCTTTGATGTTATTTCGGGGCGAATGCCTTCTCTACTAGTTGTCTGGTTTTCAACACAGGCTCTTGTGCAAACTCTCAGTGAGTGAGATATCAGCCTGCCGAGTTCCTTTGAAAAAGGAGATTCTTTCAACAAGGCTAACCCCTTCTGGGAACTTAGTACAGCCTGCCAGATAAGTAAAACACTCATCACTTCACGGAGAAGATTCAAGACGAATCTTAGCCAAGTTTTAATTCAGCTGGCCATTTTCTAACACTTCTGAACTTGCATTGATGGTAGATGACACATGGCGAGCAGATGCTGTGAACAATACGCTGAGTTAACAAAGATCCCTCCACAGCCTGGTGACCGGTCACATTGTACAGGGGAAACCAGCATCTCACCGCAGCTGCTTTCAGAAAGGAACTACATCAGGGTACAATTTGGGGAACAGTCAGCAGGGAAGCAAAGTGACAGTCTTGGAGTCACTAGCTCTTTGGAGATACATCTGCGAATAAAATGTGTCTCCGAGGCAGCTGAGTACATCAGAAGACAAGATGTCTGAAGCACCCAGATACTGGATTAGGACACCCGCAGTACAGAGCGCAAGAGTAAGGCAAAAGGCTTAATGTTAGACATATATAAACCCTAGAGCTAGGCCAATTAATAATCTTGTTCTAGTAAGGTAGTCGGTACGGTATCATGATGCTACAATATTACGTAGAATAGGATGCAATGACTTTGTATAAGAAGAAGAATAATCCTACGCAAAAAAAGTGAAATAAAATGACATCACTTGAAATCCAGTGAACCTCAGAAAGTAAAAGTTTTTGAAGGGATAGCACGTGTCTTTACATATTGTTTCTATTTTGCTAAGAGGCATGATTCCACCCAGTGCTATTTACAGGCACTGTTGGAGCAAGGGTGGTGGGAGGACACTTCACCGACGAGCTCTGCAGAGCGAACAGCAAACCAAAACGTTGTGCAGAGCTGTCAGAGACACCCAGCAAACAGGTGGACTGTAGTTCCTGGGGTAGAGCTGCCAGGAGGCCGGTTCAGGCACAAGAATTTGAAGTTATAATTTGTGAGCTTTACTCCTGGGGGACCCGCAGGCTCAGCCCATGCAAAAGTTACCGTACGCTTGCTGTTGTGCAGCGGTAGCTTGACAGCATGCTCTCCTATGATAGATGCAAAGTGGCTTTTTCTTTTAGAGTGTGATAAAAGTTAGAGCGTACTACAAGAGCCGGGGTGGGAAGAGCTCACGTATGCACAACCGCTGTGCAGCAGCTGTAACCACAGCAGGTTTTCCATGTGTGAGCTGTTACCCTGTGGAGAAGAGAGGCAAACTCTTGCACGCTTCCTAGAGTAAAGCCTGTGCTCCTGCAGGTGCCCAGACAGCAGCTCCCACGTACGCCCAGCTGTGCCCAGGGGATAAACTGAGGAGCTGAAGGTGGACTGAGAGACGTCGGGGAGGCAGAGTCCGGAGAGCAGGGAAAGGGCCAGGGCTGAGGTCCCAGTCTGGGAAGGGATAGCTCGAAGAGGGAGCAGCAGCCTGGTGTGCAATTTGGGTTTCATAAGCAGTAACTACTACTGTAAGTGCAACTGCTGGTAGCGAACGATTTAAATTTGGCCTGCAGTGAGAAAAAATAATAATTAAAAAAAAGCAGTGCGTGATAACAACTTAATACTAAAATCCCAACATTTCTATTTAAGTAGGTGGAAAAGAAACAGTTCTCTGCAATCTAGCATTTCCCCACTTGTATTATCATTTAACCGGTAACAGGTGAGTACTGCAGAAGTCTATAAACTGTCTAGCAAACATAAACTGAGAGCATCCTATTAGAAGGCTTCACCTACTAAGACACAAACAGTTGTGGGAGACTATACAGCCTGAGCAGTCTGTGTCAGAGAACAGGTATTAGAGGTCTGAATTTCAGGTTATGGTAATTATACTTTGTTCTCCTGCACAACTTCTCTTTCTGGGATTTCAACATACCCTACCTGATGCATCACCACTGCAAGCAACTATCATTATATGACTTTTAGCCTGTGCATCATGAGGAAAAGCGAATTGCAATTTGCCTATCGTCACACAGCAAGCCAGGGATAAATTTGGCTTCAGTTCCAAGATTTCCTTTTCCCCTCGATGTGCTGTAATGGCTAGATACAAATGGCTGCTTTAAAAGATCATATAATGGGCGCTGCTTTCTCCTCATGTTTTTTTCTGTTAGTTTAAATCTTTCATACAGCAAAAAGACAATAAAAATAAAACTCAGGCAAGACAGTTCAGAACAAAGATGTGATCAAGCTTAATTTTGATTTTTTGTCCTCCACTACAAAGACGATGTGCTTTAAAGCAGAGGTTGATTCACCTGCGGGGAATGCACACTGCATGTGTCCCTGTGGAGGAACAGTTTGGTGAGGTAAAAGGTGTGAAGGGAGCTTAGTTTTCTTACAGAATTGCCATTCTTTGTGTAATAACAACAAACCGGACAGAAACCTCTAACATACTCCTGCCCTGGGCCACTACTGCTAACCCTTAAGAATCCAGCAACTGAATTATCTTATGCCTGAATATCCTGAGGCCCTTTGTACCTGCTTCTCACTTTTATTTATTGCCTACATTATTTTGGACTTCCTGAGTTTCTATTGAGCCCTTCATTCATTTCATAGCTGTATCATTATGGCTTCAGTTTCAAGTGACTGAGATGAACCCCATTTTCACAAAGGCTGTCTCTAAGTGTTTCCTTTGAGCTCACGTCAGCAGCAACATCAAACACCCAAATCCCTGCCCTCTTTTTTGTTTGTTTTTTAAGGTATACGATCTATAAAGTAAGGGGCTACCTGTGCTTTGTATGTTAATGTGCACGAAAAAGCAGTGCAGAGAGAGAGTGGGGTGCCTTTGAAGTGGAAGGTTTGGATTCAGTTTTGAAATCAAAACTCTTTCTAAAGGAGAGACTGAAAGAAAAACCATGAAGCTGACTGGAAGTCCTCGTGATTAGGTTGGTCTTCTGCAGTACTGTTCATCAAAGAATTTCAAAGGTTTTGGCAAGCATTAGGCACATATGTAAAATTAGTTTAGCCCATATAAAGTTGCCTACACTAGCACCTACCATCCACACGTAAGCCAGAGTAGCCTGTGCTTTAGCTGACACAGAGCACACGTCCGCTGGCAAAGAAAAGGGACAAGAAAAGCGTTCCAGGAATAAGCGTACAACTGCTGCTTTGCAGATGCCAAGTCCAAGTTTAGCTTCTCCCTTCCAGTCTGAAGCCAAGGAGTTTAAATAACGGCTGAGGATCACCTGTGTAACTTCATTTTTAAAAAGACTGGCAGCACTCTCAGTCGGCCGGGTACCACGGCTCAGGAGAAGGGCAGGAACCGAGAGCTGAGGGTAAGACCAGGAGTCAGCTGCAGCCGACAAAATGTTCAGTCATCTAATTGCACCAGCCTACTCACCAGCTAATTTAGCTTCGTGTTAGGTTTTGTGGGTATTAAGTACTACCCTTCAATTCACAAAAGGGGAGACAGAGATGTAGCAAAAAGCAAGAGCCTTTTCGGCTGCCAGAAGGAAAAGGTAAAAAGCAACAAAACCAGATCCAGGACTCCTGATGAAAAGCCTCTTGTTGCTCTTACTGTTCATGAAAAATAATTCTAAGAGTAAGGGTATATTTTTATCTTTTCAGGTGATCATTTCATCACTTAAGAGCATGATAAAAGTATTATTTATTATTAATAATGTGTCCCGCCCACTCATTTAACCCACAGGTATATGGGGGACAAAATTCACTCCAGAAGCAAGAATTTACCTTGTACTAAAGTTCAAGATGTAACCCTGATACCAAAACCAGCGCTAATGACAGCAACTCAAGGGCCTACAAACCTGAATAAAATACCTATGATGTGCTAATGAACCAAGCTAATTATAAATCCCTGTTCAATAAGTATGTGAGGGGAGGATTTTAAAAGGTACTGATACGTTTCATCAAGGTATCTCAAAAAGCAAAGGATAATCTTGTAATTAAGGCCGAGGCATAAAAAACCAAATACTCTCTTGTCCTGGTTTCAGCTGGGATAGAGTTCATTTTCTTCCTAGTAGCAGGCACAGTGCTGTGTTTTGGATTTAGTAGAAGAATGTTGATAACACGCTGATGTTTTTAGTTGTTGCTGAGTACTGCTTGCTTATGCCAGTCAAGGACTTTTCAGCTTCCCATGCTCTGCCAGGGGCACAAGAAACTGGGAGGGGGCACAGCCAGAATAGTTGATCCAAACTAACCAAAGGGCTATTCCATACCATATGGCATCATGCTCAGTATAGAAACTGGGGGGGTTGGCTGGGGAGCAGCGATCGCTGCTCGGGAACTGGCTGGGCATCGGTCGGCAGGTGGTGAGCAATTGCATTGTGCATCACTTGCTTTGTATATTATTATTATTATCATCATTATTATACTGTTACTATTATCATTACTATTTTACTTTATTTCAATTATTAAACTGTTCTTATCTCAGCCCAGGAGTGTTTCTCACTCTTCCTCCTCCGATTCTCTCCCCCATCCCATCGGGGTAGGGGCAGTGAGCAAGCGGCTGCGTGGTGCTGAGCTGCTGCCTGGGGCTAAACCACGACATACTCGTATTTCAATCCGTCTCTGTCTCATTCCTCTTACATAACCTTTGGCAAGACAAAATCTTTCTACCCCAGCTGCAGTGTGTGGCCACAGTTTCTTCATCTCTTGGAGTACTAAAAGGTTAAACATGTATCGCCTGCATAGTATTTTGAGATCTGGCTCCCATGAAATATCCTAAAAAGAATATTGTAAGAAGTTACAATTACTTTCGCTGCTTATAAAGCTTAGTCCACATACTTTAGCTGCCGGGGCTCGCAGTCCAGTCCAGGTAAGAGCAGTCTGGCTGTCTGCCTGATATCATCGCTGTCCACAGTCAAACTGCGCCGGTGCTCAGCGTAGGTGATAGCCACTCTCATCCACTCCATCAGCGGCGGCAGAAGCATGAAGGGTCTGTGCAAACAAGGAAAAAATCCATCATAGTTAATAGTGGCCTGCTGTCTTTCTATTGCGATGCGAATCATAGAATCCTAGAATCTCCTAGAATCGTTGAGGTTGGAAAAGACCTTTAAGATCATCCAGTCCAACCATTAACCTAACACTACCAAGTCCACCACTAAACCAATTAAGGGGAGAGCAGTAATTGCATGTTTCCTGGCTTGGTGGCTGGATTCTTTATTTAATGAAAGTAAAAACTAGGAATCATTAAGGTTGGAAAGGACCTCCAAGATCATCAGTCCAACCATCAACCCAACACCTCCACGCCCACTAGTGCGAAAGCACACTTCGCTTCTTGGGCATGCTTGCGGGAGGCTGGCACAGGTAAAACCCACTTGCAGAGGCAAACTCTGTCCCTGTGCTCAGAAGACTGGCGGGCCACAGCCGGTGGAAGGAACTGGAGCTGCTCAGCCTTGGTTAGCTGAACTGCTTCCTGTCCAAAACGGAGTCATGCTGGGACATGCTGGTTTCATGCACCACATTTTACCCTGTGGGAGATAGGGCCAGGCTGAATACGTGGGACCTGCTTCTGCTACGAGCTGGGGAGGGCCTGGCCTATAGCTAAAGCGGCCGATGCTTTGGTTTGGATCAGAAGGGCTCCCATCTGAGGGGTGCAGCTTATGTAATAATCATAGAATCATAGAATGCTTTGGGTTGGAAGGGACCTTGAGAAATCATCGAGCCCAACCCCCCTGCAGTAAGCAGGGATTGAACCTGTGAACTTGGCGTTCTTAGCACCATGCTCTAACCAAATGAGCTAACCCAACTGGTCATCGTGTCTGTTGTTCTAAATAATCCATACATACAGGCTGCTCCACTGCTCAATCAGTAACACTGAAAATATTCTCAATTATTTGACACTTCAATTAAACCAGGCTAATTCAGTACTACCTCCATGGATTTTTACATTACACAATCACCATCCGATGGCTTTTCACATCCTGTATTTCTTACATGCAGAGCTCAGGCCTCCATTTTTGCATAGCTGACCCTCTAGACCGCAGTAGAACTGATACAGCTATGTTTTAATGTGAACCGTTTTGCTAGGGAGCAATGAGTAGAATCAAAGAGATAACAACTAACATGGAGACATCTCCATGCAAGAACCAAATGCACAACATTACCTAAATTGTAAGCGATTTGTGGAAAAGCAATCTATCCGTTCCTAATTTGTACAGCATCCAACACAGTGAGGTTTTACTCAATATGAAGGGTTGCAAGGCAATAAAGGAATATAACTAGGGTAATAACAATAGCAACAACTGCCATTTTGGACGAGCTTACGAAGAGGCCCCCCTCACTCCTGCTGTAAGAACGAACACAGCACTGAGATTACGCATTACACAAGGGTGCCACAATACTATCATACACAACGTATCTCATCCATTCTCTCAATGTACAGCCAGACTGATCTATTATTTGCTTGATTTTTCCCCAAGGATACCTGCCACCCTGGTGGAAGGCTCAGAAGCGCCAGCTGTAATTGAAAACACCTTTCCCATTTCCAGTAACAAATTTATTAACACTGAAAAAAAAAAAAAAAAAAAAAAAGCCCTTTTCATTTAAGCATTCAAAAGAAAATAACTGAGGGGAGAAGGTACCAATTCCAGAAAATATGAAATTATTTTGGCATTAATGAAAGCAGCTGAGCCCATGAAAGGCATTTTCAAAGCTGTGCATGCATATGTGTGCGCACGTATGCGAGCACAGTAAGAGTAAGCAACACCAATCCCGTTAGAAACCATTTATCAATAATGGGATTTGCAAGCAGAACTCCCTTTGCATGACTTTGAACATCCTTCAGGCTGGAATAACTCCGCTCTGTAAAATATGTGCCATCTGTTTCCATTTTGCCAGCTGCAAGGTGCACTCTAAAACACTGCCATTATCTCTTTACAAACACGTGCACTATTTTTCCCTCTGTTCCTTCTCTTCTGAGTAGCAAAGCAGCATCTACAAAATCAGAGGTCCTTTTAAGCATCTGATCAATCCTAGATTGCCAATGCAAGGGTGTTTTTAACAGAACATCTACTTACTGCTTTTACCAGTTTACTTCTATGTCAAACTATCAGGGCTGCTACATTCATCACCTTGAAAATTACCCAGTAGCTCGTCAGTTGAAAGACTTTCTCGAAGTCCAGCTTGAATCCCCCAACCCGTGTAGGCTTTCTACCTTGTCCCAGACACACGGGATGGGACGAATCCCTCCAGCACCACCAATTCAGAACTGACTGACTTCGCCAAGGGAAGAGCGAGGATCCGCAACAGGCATTTGGAGATGCCTTTCAGCGGTCTGTTCCAGAGAACTTCAACCTTTATCTGGCCTACCAAAGAGGCATTTACACCTTTTAAATTCAGGCACTTAAGGGAGGAGCCCGAATTAACTATCTAGACTTTCTATGTACCCGGGAGTACAGCCTTTACTATAGGATTCAAAGCTCCAGAGATGTGGTGAGGACAGAGCGGTAGGCTAGGTAGACTAAAAGCACCAGAATTAAATACTCCAAGTTAGATGGGGTGAACACCTCAGGAACAATGGAAAAAACTCATCTTACGAGTGATTATATCTACCACCTTTTGTGGTAGATAAGCTATTTAGGCCACATCACAGCTTCCCTGACACTTCCATGGTGGGAACACTGCTGGAGAGAGAACCGTGTCGATCCAGCACAGTCCTGATCATCTTATCAGGCAATGAGCCAAACCTTGGTAACTGTTACACACTGCACTGGGCAGCAAGAGACTGTGGTCAGCCAACAGAAAATACCATTGAGTCTGCACCAGAAATAACACGTATCATGAAATTTCCATTCTGTAAAAAATTCACATGTGCCAGGGTTATAAATGGCTTGCATGCACAAGCAGACCCTGAATGTGGAAAACCTGGTTTGGGAGGAATGGGAAGGAGAAAGATTTTTTTTTTGTTTGTTTATTTTTTTAATCTCAACTGATTTTTCCAAAGGCTTTAAAACTCAGAGCTCCACAGACTGCCTAGTTATCCTGTGCCCGAAGGACAGCAGACTTTGGATTGCAAAAAAAAAAAATGTCAGGAAGGGATGTTTTCCTCATACTGCTATCCTAATCTGTCCAAACCCCACCGCTCGCTCTGCTGTGCAAGCTGGATAAATAGTTATTCTATCAGGAGTGACTATAATGACTTCAATTTCTACTTCGCTGTAAAAGCTTGACTTCTCTTGAAAATTTCTAGCTTGAGGATGGGCTTTCTTTCTCCCCCTGACACACACACACTTTTTTTATCCAACTATTTCCTTTCTTCATACTGTGGGCATGCTTGCAGGAACAGCTCTATCTTACTTTGCTCACTGACGCTCCATCAGATAAGAGATGCAGTTCAGCTGAATGAAATGCCAACATTGGGTCACATTGCACTAAGAAAATAAATGCAATTATTCATTTTCTAGAAAATAAATGCAATTAGCATGCCTGTGGTCCTTAACCTGGGAGTCTATCTGCCTCTAGGCAGATAGATCGTTTCACAGTCTGAAAAACACTGGAGGAGGGGGAGGGGAGAAACCTTCATGGAAAATTAACTGGGAGATGCTGCAACCTAAAGAATTAATTTCTGTCTCTGCATTTCTGTCTGTGCCATGTTCTGCACTGTGCATTTTCCTCTGGACCTGCTGACATTTAGAAGCATTTGGCAGCTCGTTAAATTCTGCACATGAAGTGATCCAGCCCTGGAAAACTGTCATACTCGCAGCAGTCCCTCACTAGGGACACATACTCTCTGATTTCTATGAAGAATGCCACCGTCGCTTTGTTCAGTTTCTTGCTATGAAGTTGTCTTCGAGTGATGCCACATGTAAACTGGGAAAGTACACAGCAGTGGAAAGTAAAACGCACACTGCTCATCTACCATACACCTTGTAAAGAATCGCAGTGATGTCTGATATGGTCATGTGCTGTCAGTATTTTACCCATAGGTTCTTTGAAATTTTCCTCCATTTAGAACTGGACAGCTGCTCTCAGGTCGGAGCTGGGTGAGATGCGCTCTCAGAAAGCATGGACTCTATTGCGGGCTTTTTCCCCTCATCTGAACTAAAACGTGTTGTCTTATTTTGACATAACCAAGAAGGATGGCAGCAGCAGCACTTGGCAGAGAATTTATAGCAAGTTGTAGCTTTTCCCTGGAAAATGTACTACATTCATTTGATTAGAATGGTCTAGGACATGACCGGCCCTTGGAGATCATGTGCGGCAGTCTTTGAGGATGTGCTGTGGGATTACAGACTTTCAGTGTTAATTCATGCATCGCCAAGAAACCAGTCCCCAAAGTGGGCTCTTCTGAGGATTTTTAAGAGCTCTGGGGCCAAGACATTTTTGGCAGAGGGAAGTTAATTGTATGCAAAAAGGAAAGAGCTCCAGAGGAGTTAGAAAATTATGTCATCCTTCCTCTGTGTTGAATGCACTTGGAGCTTGACTTTCTGGGGTGAGGAACAGCTGCTATCTCAGATGAGGACAGTAGGTCTTCCCAGAAGAAACAGCCAGGCCATCAAACTCCTCCCTTCTGCCTGGGTCCCCAGGAAGGTCCAGGGACAAGATTGCTGAAGAAAAGAGGAGCAAGGGGAGGAGGAGACATTTTCCCTGCAGCCACCTCTCTGCCTCCTGTGCTATTTTTCGTCACCTCCTGTTTTGCTACAGCAAAACAAAGATGGAGCCAACAGTGACAGCAACATCAAGAAAGAAAAACCTTGTTCTTCTGAACAAGAACCTTCTTCTTCTAAAGCAGGAAAGAAAACACTGTCCTAACACAGGCAGGTGAGAATGGCAAAATTTGTCTCTCTCTTGGCACTCTGAGCTGGTCCTCAGACACACATAGAATCATAGAATCGTTGAGGTTGGAAAAGACCTTT